TATCTCGTTCCAATTTACGGCTGTTGAAATGATTGCTATCATTATAAAAAAAATCAAGTGATAAAAATTACGTTGCATTTGGGATTTTTCGCTGATACATAGTTTTAGTCGTACATTTTTCAGGTATTATCACCTCTTTACTCTACGGAGTTCGAGAATGCATCATTTTAAACTTAAAAAATTACAAAATATAACTATTTTGCCAGATATATTAAGTGACAAGTAACGAATCCGATGTATCCCATCACACAAATAAATGCCCGAAGTGGGACTCGAACCCGCGACGGTTGGCACAGCGAGTAGAGCCAAGCAAACAGAGCCCAACGTTCATCTATGACGATATGGATAACGGTTATAAAAAATCTGATAACTTGCCTGAAATGGGCAGTTTAACGGTTGCCCACTATTTTTCAAATGGCTCCGATTTCTTGGCCGCAGAGTTGCGAGGAGTAAAAATGCAAAAGTAATGTATTAACATTTTCCTTTTTATAATAGATCTTTTGATACCTATAAGTACATATTTCTCATTATTAGTGTTTTATAAATGTACGTCATACGTCACATTGATACTATGAACTTGACATTCAAGTTCCTGAAAAGGAATAATGCGTAGGTATTTGTAACAGGGTGGAACTTACTGAAAACAATACTAACATAGACATTGACGACACGTTTGGCTCAGTTGGTAGTGACCCTACTTGCTGTTCCAGCGGTCGCGGGTTCGAGTCCCGCTGGGGGCATTCATTTGTGCGATGAACACGAATGTTGGTACTCCAGTCATGGGTGTTTATATTTATAATATGTATGTATTTAAAGTTATATATGTGTAGTGTATCAACTATCTGGTATCCATAACACAAGCCTCGTAGCTTTCCATGGAACTAGATGGCGCTGTGTGTTAATGTCCCAACGTTTATTTATTATTGTTTATAGTATTGTTTTCAACAAGTCCCACCCTGTTACAAATACCTAGTAATAGTAGGTAGTTTTGATCATGATTTAAAGTTGTATTTTTTTAATATGTAATGTAACAAGAAATTAACATAGTGAAATTATCGTGAACATTACGTACCAGAGTTTAAAATTTGAACCCATAAAATTTTGTTTTCAAAAGTATGTAGGTTATTATTGGGATGCACGCGAATACTCCTTTTAAATATTATTATTTTACTCTTTAATGTGATTGTGGATAAGTGCATTTTTATGTATTTTATTTTTTATTTCCTAGTTTCTGGATTCAATACTTTTATCAATTCGAAGCAAACTGCAAACACACAGGTCGGGAGGAGCAGAGCATGAACTGACCGATCGTTGTCAAATGACGTCACAACGGCCGATGAGTCCACGTCGTCGCATGCCTGTCTAAACAATTAAATATTTCGGAAACTATAAGAAAAAATTTACGACATTTTTTAATTTTTATAAATATCACAAAATTTTGTGATATTTTTTATTTCCTCATTTCTAACTTTAAAATTGGCCAACTTACATAAAATTTCCATTATTTTTTATCCCTTTAGAACATGAATCTTCAAAAATGCAATGCAAAATTTCATACTCCTATACTTACTTCTTCTTACTATAGTTCTTCGGTGTGATCTTGTATATCATTCAATCAGTAAGTATTAGAGTTTTATTAATTACTAGCGGCTCACCCTCGCTTCGCTCGGGTTCGTCGCGAGGTACGTTTTAAATAGATATAAATAAGTAGTTATTAGCCAGCATTAGCCATATAATTTTTTTTTTGCTAATAATATTGACAAATATTGACATTAATATTGATACGATTCTAACGTCACTCAATTGCCATCAATGTTTTGCCTTCCCGGAATCTCTTCACTAACACTTAAACTTTATGATATGGTATTAAAGTTCAAATTGACTTTCAAGTATTATTACGAATCTTTTGTATGGGAGTATAAAAAAGTGTTGTTTTTAGACTTTTTCAGGCAATTTTTTAAATTTTTCTCTCCGTAAAAACCATCCTCGTACTTCAAGGAATATTCTAAAAAAAGAATTAGCGTAATCGGTTCAGCTGCTCTCGAGATTTGCGCTTACCAACACATTCAGCGATTCATTTTTATATTATAGATTCTTTTACGAGTATACAAGCAACTTACTCTCGTTTAGCTCATGTGTATGTCATTTTGACATATAGCTTATTGTCTTATTTCAAACCAAAAAAAAGGCAGCGCACGTCGATAAATCAAATTAAGGGCTAGTTTTATCCATTTTCTTTTTCTTCGAATAGTAAGTATATTTTTATCTAGAGTTTTAATATATAGTTAAAAAATTGAGATCAAATCTCATCTCAATCAATCTCAAAAGTTACAAAAAATAAAAAAAATCGAAATAAAATGTTTGGCTTCATACGGTTGTTGATAAAATGAAATTTAAAATAAAATATGTAAGTATCAAAATGTTTTTACCTTTCTTAATATTACTCTATATTTATAGGACAATATTTTGCTATAGATCGTCTACAATCTACACTAATAACATTTATTTAATTTTTACTTTTATTATATGAAATAATATTGTCTCTATCGTCTGTATGCAATTGCTCACAACCTATAAAACCTATCAATTATTATTCTTTATTATTCTTTATTCCTCATTACAATTACTATATTACAAGAAAGGGTAACAGAGGAAAATGCTTTAATATTAAAAAAAACGGCTCTTTATTTTATGAATGACCAATTTCTAAAAATATTTAACCGGATGGATAGAGAAAGCTCGCGGACTTCAATGATCCACATAATAAGCTTTTACGTTGTACAAATTACAAAATTTCTCAATGATACAAACCCAATATGAATACATCTTCGATTTAATTCACGCTTAGTGCACCGCTTGTGCACTTACTCGTACATATGGTAAAACCGTCTGTCGTCATCATAATATGAGGTACTCTACGGGTTATTATAATAATATAATTTCAATATTGCTTTTTATACAAAAAAATCTAGTCTTCATTTTAATTTTTAAAAACTAATTAGCTATTAGGGAATATGAAACATAAATTAATACTTGCAATAATTGATATATAAAAATTCAAGATACACACTCAAAAGTCTACTCAAAAAAAGAGCGCGTAATTTGAAATTAGCATCTCTTTTTAAATATTCTCGAATCGCTCTAAATTTAAATACAGAGCGGATGATCTTTCCGAAATGTCAAAGTGTTTGTTAGAATAAAGTAAGAATATTACATTTAGGATCTTAAAAAAGGATGGATTATGGTATTGTCGATAAGTAAAAATGTTAATTGATTTGTTTTTGTAATATTTATTACAAAATATAACCAGGATTATTTGATTTATTTTTAATTTGTTTTTTACTTGACCTACTGGTCGTGACTATTAAGCCTGGCGTCGACTACAGCCGAAACGCGTCTAATCGAGACGAGTCGACTCGAGTCGCATTTTATTCCTTGTGCGTCTATTTTAGCCGAATCGAATCAAATTGATCGCAACTCGTTAGCGAAGTAGGTCGTGAATGCGCTTCGATCTTCTTAACTCTAAAGTGTAGTATAAACCTACACAGATAAATAAAATTGGTGTCTGTTTGTAATATCAAAATAACAGCTTATTACTAAATGCACATGAAACTACGATACTTATCAGAAAAACACAATTTTTAAATTTTTTGTCTGTCTGTTTGTTCCGGCTAGGTACTCTCCGAAACGGCTAGACAGATTTTGGCGAGTTTTTTACTGGCAGATAGCTGATGTTATAAGGAATAACTTAGCCTATTGTTATTTTAGAAAAAGAATTAAGGTTCCGCTAAAAAAACGTACCTAGGAACGAACCCGAGCGGAGCGAGGGTAAATCTTTAGTATACAGTATAATAGTATAGTTATATTATAAAATATAATATTATAGTTTCTTTTCACGAAACATAGGTACTCTTTAAATAAAATACAAAAAACTCGCCGTGCGCATGCGATTCCCCGCGTCGATTTAAGGCGCGCCGAATCGAGTCGAAACGCGTCGCAGAAGAAATTTGCCTGACGAGCAATGCGCGCGGGTGGTTCGATTCGGCGCGCCGCGAGTCGTCGCTTATGGACGCAGTTTCATGGTTAACTCTGTTATAGTCTGGAATGACATAGGCTACTTTTATCCCGGAAAAATTTACGGTTCCCGTGGGATAGGTTTGTTTTTGTTTTTCATAATAATTCATTGCTTAATGTTTTATTTAAAAGAAATAAATGCACTATTATTATTTGGTCACCCAAAGTCAGATAGGTTTCCGAAAGCTAGGTTGCGACTTGCGAGAAATTTGGTTTCCAAACGATTTAATAATATCCAATAGTGAAAGCAAATAAGTTTAATACACATCCATAATAATAAATAGGAATTTTATGGCAATATTATCAATTTGCAATATTTCTTAGAAAGTAAAATTAATATAACAACGACTTTATCTACTCTACATATTATGTTGCTTTTATTCTGCCCAACTCCCGAAGACAACTGCTTTTCGGAAGTCAAATTTAAAAAAGGTGACATAACCCACATTGTTTTCATACGTTGTAAGTTCGAATTTGCGTTAACACGATTAGAACTTACGATTTTTGGTTTTATTCTTTAGTTTGACTCAACGTCAATTACGACGTCACTTTTGTAGAGATATTGGTTAGAAACTGTGCATCTATGGTTTTTTATATCAATGCTAGCAATATCTACTACATTTTTACATTATATTTGATGTTAAGAAGTTTTAAATTTATCGAATAAATGATAAAGTTTATTTAAATTTAAAATTTATTTACAGGAAAAGAACTTAACTAGGACTTAGAAGTTTTGTCATAATTTACATTGTTTTATCACATTTTTATTTTATATTTTATTTTGTTAGTTGCGTAATAGTAATAGTAAAGCCACCAACCGCATTTGACCCGTAATTTATACATTTGTAATTACTAAAATAATTAAACATTTTATTTAAATTATTATTACACTGTCTAGAATTGTTGAATTTGCAATGGATCTATTAATTTGATATGGTTGTAGAGAGTGATTCTTCAGACTGAGGAATTTTTGTGGTGGATTGTTCAGCCTCTTCTTCAGAAGGTCGATTAGTAGTTTCTGTAGGAGCAGATTGTCCGACGGTTTCAATTGCACTCGATTGCTCAGGAGCTGTAGTAGAAGATTGAGGTTCAGAAACTTCAGTTGAAGGTTGTTCAGATGTAGAAGTTAAAGCCTGTTCTGCTGAAGCTGTGGGTCCCTGTTCAGATTCAGTAGACTGAACAGGTACTGGCGTTGAAGCTGTTTCGCTACTCACATCTACATTAGGTGTAGTTGCATCACTGGATTTTAAAGCATCGGATTCTGTAGCTGATTGTTCTATTTTAGGAGATTGGACGTTATCTTCACCTGCTTGTTCAATTTTCGTTTCAGGTTTATTTTCTTCATTTGCAGATGGTTCAGCTGGGGATGCAGCAGTTTCTTGTATAGATGCATTTTCTGGAACTACAGCAGGCTCCTCTGGAGCAGATGAAACTTTAACAGGAGAAGCAGAAGTGTCTGGTGAAGATTCAGCTGGCTTATTAGATGGTTCAATAGACTCAGATTTTTTAGCTTTCGTTTCAACAGTTGCCGAAGCGGATATTGAGCTATCAGGTGTCTTCAAAGCGCGTCCTTTTTTTTCTGCAGAGCTTGGAGAGGCTGGTATTGCTACGGGCGATTTAGGAAGATGATCACCAATCGGCCGGAACCCGTTTTCATCGGCAATATACCTATTTAAAAAAAACAAATATCATTAAAAAAATTTAAATCAACATCTTAACGCCTCCAGGTAAAATTCTAAGAAATTAATTAAACTTCTAAGAAATCTATTGTTAACTGTAACGCCGGCGTGTCCGCGGAAGGTCGTGGAAGGATTAACTTTTTTAACATTTGGATATAATAAATGGGATTTAACTTAGCTGCAAGTACATTAAAAGGCTCAATTTCACTATTTCTTTATTGCCACCTGTAGGATGCCTCAGTAATTAATAGTAAATACACTAGTGGTGTGACTTTAAAGTTTAATATTCTATTATTATTTTTTTTCTTACTTGAAAACTTTTACTTATGTTCAACGTAGTTCATATTTACCTTAAACTGATAATAGTTCCATCAGGTGCAGTATATGAATAAGAACCTTGTTGTACGTGAATTTCGTCACTATAATCTTCATTTTCACTGGCTTCATTGCTGCTTGCTCTAGCCTTGGGTAAGACTTTTTCATAAGCAATCTCTTCGCGTTTGATTCCATTTCCAGTTTCGTAACTAAAATATTTTAGACTATATTAATATTTGATTTATTGTTTAAATTCTACTATATTTAAAACTAAGTACTAAGTGCTGACTTGACAGGTGACTTTTTAAAATTATAGGATTTTTTAATATGTTACGTATATCTTAAGATGTTATAGTTATTAATATGTAGATTGAAGACACTATCAAAGAGTCAGACAGAGGGTACGAAATATTATTATTATCATAGAGAAAAATAAGTTACTCAATTTAAATAAAATATATATACATACGAGTATGTATGTATCTCCTATTTCTAACCAAATAGTTCTGTCTACTGACAAGTTTCGTAAAAGAGGAAAGCTAGCAATAGTTGGTGACTTTCCTTGCAACATTTTTGTATTTTTGCAAGGAAGATCCAACAAACAAAATTCTTGATGGAGATGTGCTTGGTTGTGCGCATTGTGCATTCCTGAAGCTTTGACATAAGCTGCAGTCTTATTGAACTGGATGTATTTCTTAATAGTACTGGAGTCGCTAAATAGCAATAATTGACATAACTACCTAACTGGGTACTTGGTATTTGATGTAGGTCATATTTACATATACATAAAATATGTATAGCTTAAAAATCAAATTAACTTGTCCACTGTTTGAAGCCCTTAAAAAATAAAGTAATTATTAAAGTTACTAAGATACTAATTAGCTGAATTCAATTTTTACCAGAAATCATTTATACAAAAAAGTGCTATAAAGTTCTTTCCTTAATATCTTCTTAGACTAACGCTAATATGTGATATTTTAAAATAAAACTATTTCTCCGAATTATTTCGCGGATATGTTTTAATTTCTGTTTCACCTGTTTTAATATTTTTACAAATTTTACAGGAATATGTACATTTTTACATGTTTGCTGTATAAAAATAGATAAAAAAATCTAAAATATAGTATATCTACAAATTTCCAGCACTTCGTAAGTTACAAAAATGTGTAATTTTAGAGATCTCTTATCGCCATGCGTTATTGTCAGATCACTATTTCTTTTTTAACAAAGCATTCATTGATATTTTATAACAATAGTTTAAATGGTCATATATTCCATTAACCGAGTCCCAAAAAAAAAGTATGACAAACATACATATGTTTATAAGCTATGATAAACATACATATAGAAGATACATAGAAATTAAAATCTTGTTAAAAGAAAGTTTTTAGTTGTTTTCAGAATATACATAATAATAATATGTAGATCGATAGAACCCCTGAAAATCAGTTCATTTAACTGATGGTAAATCAAAAAAAATAATTTTGGTTTTACTTTTGTGACTACTACTTTGTTATTCCATTAATTCTGTTATTATATTATAATAATATTATAAACGCGATAGTTTGATGGGATGTTTGTTTCTCAATCACGCCAGAACGGCTAATCAGTCGTTTATGGATGAAATTTGGCACAGAGATAGATTATAGTCTGTAATAGCACAACGTCACAAACTCACAAACTTTATCTCTTAATAATATTAGTACAGATTTAAAACTGACATATAATAAGTTTAAATTTATCTTACCTGAATTTGTAAGTTCCATTGGGTTCAAATTCTTCAGACTGAGATATAATAGGGATTACCGTTGGCTGTTGCTTTTCAGGAGGAACATCAGTCGGCGCGGTACTGACGTAAGCCAAGAGGCAAAGGAGCAAAACTATTATATTCTTGTTATACATCTTAATTTATTGTCAGTACTTCCAAAAATCACTAATGAATGATAACTCCAGACTTCATGAGCACTTATATGTAAGACTCATCTATTTACACTACCCTCCCCCCGCCTTCCGGTGGAGCCTTAGCGTACGCTAAATACTTCAACCTTAGCGGTTGACTGAGGTGTTCTTCAGAAAATTGCACAACCGACGAGGTGTCAATAAAGTGACACGAAGGGTGACGATCGGACGCGATTAAACTGATAAATACTCCAATCAAGGCCTGAAAACTACTTTAGTTTTCAGAGATGCGTTAAAGCTAACACTTTGGTCAAAGTTAAATAACAAAAATGGTGTGTTAACTGTAATGTTTGATATTTTTGTATAATTTATTAATTCGTAATATATTTTACAAAGGTGAAATTTTAAAAACATTTATATATTTTTTGTAATTTTTAGTGTTGCTCTGTGTCTAGAACCTTTCTAAGATGGAATAGATTATATTTTTACTTTATACATAACTTTTTTAGCACATATTTTGAATATGAATCCAGGTTACTGTAGGTCATATTTTGATGTAATTATGCCACTTAGGTCACGATTTGACATCTAACCTGAACATAATGTATACCTATTATGTTAAATCATGGTAAAAATATTCAATAAGCTAATTAATAAAAATTTGTGTAACTTCCTCATATTAACTGTATTTTAAAACTGATGTCATGGCTATAATAAAATTTGTATTTCTTTTAATGTTTTTATTCTTGTTTGACTAGTAGTTTGACTGTCTACGTAAATATTATATATTAGAAATAGCTGTGATTGTACATTGAGTCATCTTCATTACTATTTCAAGCGTGTTACTGATATGTTGTAGCATAGTAAATAAAGAAGTAATTATTGAAAATGTTAATTATTAGCACGTTGTTGTTTTTAGTGTTTACAAACACTATATCTTGTAGTGCTTCGGAGGATAACTCCAATAACCAAGACAAGGCATTAGAAAGTTATAGATACAATCACCCGCCATTATTTGCGCCATATGATTTTCCAGATTCTGAAAAATATGAAGTAAGAAAAACACGAGATATTGAAGATATTGAGAGTAAAAGTTATGAAACAGTCGCAAGACCAGAACTTGTAAAATTGCCCTCTAATGATAGATCCCAAGGAAAAAATCGAACTAGTGTAGTGAAAAGACGCAAAATAACAAAACAGCAAAGCCCTTCTTCATATGAAGAAAAAATTGAAGTAAAACAGAATGTACAAAAAAATGATGCAGTAATGAAGGAATTTGTAACTGAAAGACCCTTCAGTACATCGCCGAGTCCTAAAACGGTTGTTCCAAAGACATTTACAAAGCGGCCCCCTGAATTTAACCCTGTTATGAAGAAGTTCAGACAGCGGGATCCTGTAGTAAAAATAGTAGAAGAGACAAACTTTGTATATGCTCATAATGGCAACTTTCATTACAGGTACTGTTTTTTTAAGTGACATTTGTTACAAAGGCCCACAAACATACAAGGTTTTTTATTAAATTTTGCGTTTTTTTTTCTGTTTGACATTTTAATGTTATGCAGGGAACATTTTAATGTTTTGTATTAATAATTATGAATAACCAAAATTATGAGACCTACTTAAATATTTTTATTATAATTATAAAATGTATAAAAATTGAGCATTACTATAAATCTTTAATTTTCTTTTTTTAATTTCATGCTAGTATGCGGATCTCTCCTCGCTCTTGATAAGATTTTTTTTAAAGTAACTATTGTATTGTACTGTAAATAAATAATATTATATATTTTTGGTACTTTATAAAGTTTGGGATTGGGATAATTATTTAAAATCTAAATATATTTTATTTCTCAGTTTTGAAGGCGCTGATGGAACAAAAGTGTCAAGCGTAGGTGAATTGAAGTCGTTGGATAATAATAAAACTGGCGAAGCTGTTGCTGGAGAAGTCTTTTACACGGTAAGCATTCTATTTCATATTAGTATATAAATATGAATATATCACTAGTTCCTAGACGCCCTTCGTATATATTCGTATAAAAAAAATATATTACAGAATTTCCCAGAGATGAGATATTTTCACGCAGTTAAAAGTATCCTATATATTGACCCGGATAACCAGCTATCATCATACAAATTTCATCAAAATCTGTCCAGTGGTTTCCTCACGACATTCCCATACAAACAGACAAACAGAAAAAGATCTAAAAACTACAGATTCGGCCTCTAATAATGACTATTTCAATAGGATTTTCCCAAAAATATTGAATGTACTCAGAATTTTGTTATATAACAATATTTATATATTGTATATATAACAATATTTATATATAGTAAGCTAGGTACACAATATAATTTTACCAGGTTTATTAATTTACTTATGGATATATATAACAAAGAATAATAATGCTAATTGTAGTATTGAATGTTATTAATATCTATGAGATGTTTAAAATCAAAGGTTAAAAGAAGTCACGTCACACGCCCTTGAACTATAAAATTGAATCCCATTTAAATTGTCATCTAGAATATTCATATCTTTTTTTTTGTAACAACTTGAAATATAAAATCTGTGCAAGACTTGTTTGTGAATTCTTGTGTGTGTGTTGTGTGTGTTTTCGTGAGGTATGTATGTAGAGATCTCACGATTTTTTAAAATTATTAATTAGTATAATATGTAAATACGAATAAGTATATTGTATTCAGCCTATTTTAATGTCCCACTGCTGGGCACGAGCCTCCCTTCAATACGAGGGGGATCAGCCCATAGTCCACCACGCTGCCCAAGTGCGAGTTGGCGGACTTCACATGTCTTTTGAAAACTTGCTAGGTTCACTCAGACATGCGGGATTTCTCACGATGTTTTCTAATAAGGATATTATATGTATTAAAATAAGAGTGGTATGAAAAGAAAGTATATGGAAAATTTTACATACTCTACAAAGTCCATCTGTCTAAAAAAAATATTTTTCTCATAACTAATTAAAATTTCTGTATATATTTTACAGGACAATGAAGGAAATGACTTCAGCTTAACATATACAGCAGATGAAAACGGATATAGACCACACGGCGCTCACTTACCCACACCCCCACCAATTCCTATTGAAATCGCACGAGCTCTGAAAATACTTGCTACTAAAACAGAACCAGAACCAGAACCCGTAACTGAAGCAACAAGGAAGAACAAATCACGTAATTAGCTGTAATATTTCGTGTAATAATACTTGAACCGCCTCACACATTGTTTTTGTTTTCTTTCTTAATTAAATATTACTTTGTTTTGATACTTGGCAATGTACGAGTACATTTTTGTATATTTTTTATAACTTTATAATAAAACCAATAAATACTTATACGTTTTTAAATGCTTTATCCTATGAATATACAAGATTCTATTATTTTATTGGTATACTAGCATTTCCCGCGTTCAGATGACCAGAAACCAAATTCTTAGGTTTTATATATTAGTATACTCTGACATTGCAGGTTTTGTATTTTTTCTCAGAAATGAGACATTTTCCCGCGGTAAAAAGTATCCTATATGTTGATCCGGATAACCAGCTATCATCATAGCAAATTTCATGAAAATCCCTCTAGTGGTTTTTCTGTGATGCGGTAACAGACAGACAGACAGACAGACAGACAGAAAAACAAAAAATCTAAAAACTATAGATTTGGACTCTGTATCTATAATAATGTCTATTTCAATAAGATTTTCCAAAAAATATGTAATTAACAGATTCGGCTTAGTTACAATTTTAGTATATGTATGTACATAGATAAGTGTTTTTCATATTTTTTTCTGAAAATTAGTTTTCGTGGCGTAATATGTACACTTTGTAGTTCACAACACTTAATAGAGTTAGTTATTCCATTCATGTATATTTACATTCGTCTAGACTCCTAGAGGTAAAACAATTAAATTCATTTGTCTATATGAATATGTAAATTTGATCAGCGCTGCACTTTTCACAGCTAAGGTGTCAAGAGTTCCTGTTTGCCTATTTAAGTTTTATTTTCGTTTGAATTAGGTATAAAAAATATATAAATACCTAAGCTATATCTGCGCGCAATATTTATAAGAATTTCATATACGTAACAAGTAACCTGTTCTTTGTTTCGCTCAAATTATACTCGTACCTTTACTTATTAGAATCCCACACCGCGCCTTTTATGCACGGCATGCACTTACAGACTTACTGATATTACTATAGATCATCGATCATTGTGGGTGTTGTTCAAGCGATCCTGTAACGCTCCATTGCGCTGCGTGGATATAGTTCTGTTATGGGTTTTATCGAATAAAAATCTTACAGCCGTTGTCCATTGACAAACGTCACAAACCCCATGATGGGTTTGTGACGAGAGATTCTCTAATAATGTGTAATTTTTAGTATAGGACTATCTACAGCTGTAATCATTACATTTTTTTGTTATTACAATTATATCAGAAGCAACTTTCCAAAAGGCTAATGGTAAGAGATATATGTATAATGCTATCAATAAAATATATCTTAATAATTCCACTTCTTTATGAACATTTTAATAATAAATTACGATAAAGTACATGACAAAAAATTAAATTTAATTAAATTATTATTCTTTTTTTTTTACTTTGTTTCATTAGTAAAACAATTTGTAATACTTAATGAACAAGTTTTATATTAACTTTTGTAGAAGTGCTTCTTGGATTTTTTTCCAGTCAAAGTCAAAATAACGATTCTGGTTAAATCACTTATCGCTATTTCTTATTAAATTGTATATGTCAAAGTAATTAAAATAAAAATATTTTGTTCATCTATAAGTTGATATCCGTTTAGTCTTCTCATCAATGACCTTGTGCCAGCGTTCACTTTAACAAACAGGTTACTCACGCATACCTGTATTGTAAAACACTTTTCACACGAATACTTTATCCGCGCGTTTAATTTACAAAGAGTATTATAAACAACGAAATTAATTAAGGATTTGTGGAATATTGTTTAACATATAAGAGATAAGAATTTGAAAGAACTTCCATAGCAGCTTAATTATATAGTATCCATCTTTGTTTATGTCAAATTATCGAAAGATAATTGTTAATTTAGCAATGTTGTTAATAGAAAACAGAAAAATATTGAAAACTAGCGACTTACCGTTCGTCCCTACTACGTTTTGACGTTTAGTATCGATTTCTCAGAGATGAGATATTTTCCCGCAGTAAAAAGTCTCCTGTATATTGAAGCGGATAAACCAGCTATCATCGTACCAAATTTTATCAAAATCTGTCCAGCGGTTTTCTCGTGATGCGTTCCCAGATAGACAAACAAAATTTCGAAAAACTATAGATTCGGCGTCTGTATCGATAAATCAACTATGTCTATTAGATTTTCCATAAAATATATTTAAAGTACAGATTCAACTATAAGTTAGAATTTTATTATATGAACTAGCAGTACCCGCGGCTACGCCCGCGTCCAAACTTCCGATCGCTAACAAAATTCACAGGATCACCTACTGGACTAATCTGAAGATTACCTAAAAATTTCATCAAAATCGCTTCAGCTGTTTTGGAGTCCATAGGAGCATACATATACATACACATCGATTTTTATTTTATTTAATCAAAAATTTAAATTTATTGATTGCTCGGAAAATGGAGTATTTTATGAAAATTTAGTGACACACCGACTACAGCGCCACGTACCGAATTTATTTTTGTATTCACCACTCGAACACACACAAAAAATATAATTAAAATCGTCCCTGCCGTTTAGGAGATGATCAGTGGCGCACCGACTGCAGCGCCACCTACTGGGTCCATTTGTATTTTTAAACCATCCAGGAGCTCATTGAAATATACACACAAAATTTCATTCAAATCGGTCCAGTCCTTTAGGAGGAGTAGGTTAACAAACACACGTACAGAAGAATTATATATATTAAGAAGATAGATGACAATCAGATCACGCGACATAATAGTAAGACAGTTTTAGATTGTTATGCATAGAAGCAATTTCAAAATCTTGTGTAGGCCAATGATTTTTTTTTAATTATTGAAACTTTAAAAATAAAATAAAAACCGACTTCTAGGCATTAAAATGTAATAAATAATTAAACCGGAGTTTTCATTTAGAATAGATACCTATTCAGATGTTTTCGAAGTCGGCGCCAGCCGATGTAGAGCAAATCTAATATTAAGTACATACATAGTATTTTAACTATAATTAGAGTTCATACAAAATCATATTTACCTATTAGATAATAGATATTCATATCTTAAAATACTGTCGGCTGGCACTGGGAAGTATACCCTTTAAAACAAAAATATATATTTCCAAATCGGTTCAGGCGTCTTCGTGTAATCGGTGAAAGCACATAAAAAATCCGACGAATTGTGAACGTCCTCCTTTTTGGAAGTCGGTAAAAAATAAACAAAAGTTATGTTATTTTTATTAAAACAGAATAATTTATGTTCTTATTAAACATAATATACATTAACAGCGAGTGTGAATGGAGTTTAACCTAAAGCTTACTTCGATGGTCGCTTTTGCTTTCCACTTGCACTTGCGTTATTGCGGTTCTTGAAAAAAAAAACACTTTCGTTGTATTTGATTGACAGTATATTTTATACTCTATCCTTATTTTTTTCGTACAAAGAATGTTGTTTGATAGTATATTTTTTACTTACTGAAGAAATAAAAAATATTCTGCATGATTTGCTAACCTTTCTGTTAAATTGTCACACTTAAACCGCTGAAAAAAAATCAAGGATTGCAGCAAGGACTTATGGAAATAATTATGGAAAAGGATATAAATGATCTTTTATACCCGCCCTCTTTCCACGCGAGCCCCGCTGCAGACAAATACTAGTATTATATAAATCTTCTAAATTGGCACTCGCGGATTTCGTAGAACTATTCACAACACATAGTTTGACCCTCTAGTCTATCATCCTAAAATATGCCATTTGAGATTTGCCTCTAATCATTATTTAATTAAATAAAAAAATTCAAGTCCTGCTTTTTTAAAAATATTTTATTTTCACCGCCTAATAAAACGTAATTACACATTTTTATATATTACCAACTTATTAAACTTTAAAAACGACTCAACAGTTTTTGCTGTGCGTTTATAAACCAGTCAGAACAAGGTATTATTAGGTACGAATGTGTATTATAATTTGCTATAGTTATCGAACTTTTTGGCAGCAAATAGTTACTTTATGATATAGATATATATTTTTTTTTACATTTATACAAATATTATTATAACGAGTTAGTAAATAATTGAATTTTAGTAATTGACTCTTAAAAAAAGGACATTCAAACGTCATTGTAGTCACTCAAACACACGACTTGTTAATTGATTATCAACGGTGTTAAAGATGTATAAATTTGTATTTTGTGATGTGTAAACTTTGTGTCTTGTTTATAGCGAGGTATGTCGAGGTCAAACAGAAGCCATCGTCGCTTTGCTGGTAATTGTTTTAATATCCTGGACAAGTTTTATTGGTTTTCATCGAACACAATTCTATCTTTAATTCTTGTGTCACATTTGGGCATTGTTTTAAAGTTAAATATTAAAATTAATAGGAAATGACCTCAGCAGTTAACACCTTTTCGACATGAGTTTTGTCAGCAGTGATGCTAATAAACTGTTTACATCATACGTTTAAATTTATTCAGTGGCTTGTTATAAAAAATATACAAATTACAATAAAACAGAACACATTAATTTGCAATGCATCTTTGGCACTGAATTTGCATTTATTCAATAAATAAATAGAGTAGGTAAATATTTCTTTTTTCATACGAATCTTAACTATCACAGTTCATATGTTGAGCATTATTTTTATATATTTTTTATTGCTTTGAGTATAAGAGAATCAAGTACCATTTTGTTAATTGGCTTTTTTACAATGTATATACATTATGTTTATAAAAAATATTTGGTGGCAAATTTCCAAAGTGGTACACGCGTAGGTCTTCGTTGATCAATGTTGTGGTGCGCATGAGGTCATCAGAGGATTGTTATATATATTTTCAGTTCCTAGACGGTGGTGGAGGAGGCAATGAAGCGATGTAGTCCAACGCCTTTTGGATCGCTGGTGGAATTGGTGGAGGAGTAGGCAAATGCGCACCCTGAAAAATATTATAACCGATTCATTATATCTTTATAAAAAACTAGCTACTCAGCCTCGCATAGCCCGGGTTCGACCTAGAGTTACAACAAAAACAAATCTATCCAGCGAGAATGATACATTTTTCCGGGATAAAAAGTAAATTTATCTATTATTATTTATTTATCAAACTATAATTTATCTCTGTACCGAATTTCATCTTGATCCGTTTAAAGGTGATCAACGTGAGTAACAAGCATCCATCGAAATTTTCGAATTTATAATATTAACTAGCATTGACCGCGGTTCCGCCCGCGTTCAGATGACCAAAAACAAAGTTCTTAGGTTTTACATATTAGTATACTCTTACATTGCAGTATTTGTAATTTTTGCTCAAGAATGAGATATTTTCCAACGGTAAAAAGTATTCTATATGTTGACCCGGATAACCAGCTATCACCATACCAAATTTCATCAAAATATCTCCAGTGGTTTTTCTGTGATGCGGTAACAGACAGACTGACAAAAATTCTAAAAACTATAGATTCGACCTCTGTATCGATAATAATCAATAAGATTTTCCAAAAAATATTCAATGTACAGATTCGGCTTAGTTACAATTTTATTATATGTATATGAATAGATAATAGGATTTAAGTCAAATTTAATAATAAATTTTACAAGCGACTTACCCTCGCTTCACCCTAGTTGTGTCTTTGGGTACTCAATAATAATATACACATTACTCCAGGTTATGTCTATCTGCGTACTTAATTCCATCTAAATCTGTCCAGCCGTTTCAGCGTGCGGGAGTAACAGATATACACACACACATACAATTCGATAATTAAGAATTGGTGACAAAGATTTCGATAATATATTACAAAATTATATTGTTACGAGCTTTCGCTTGTGCATGCGTAAAATTTTTAAGGTCACATTATATAATTATAATATAAAAGCTACCTTGACATCGTATTGCAATGTAACATCCTACATATTAAAGCTCAGAATGTAATCTCATCGAATCGAATTCTTACTAATATAATTTGTTCCTATAACTATATATAGAATCATTTTATTATTAAAAAATTAAAATGATAGGTATTATTGTAATATATATTTCTTTCTAATTACTCTGTATAAATGTTTATTTTAGATTTTTTTTTGTTTCTGAACAACTAAAATATTTAATCATAATACTGTACTGTAAATAATATTGCATATATTTATATTACCTCAGGTCTGAAGCCATTTTCATCGTCAGCGGTGTAGGATAAGTTTATAACTGTACCATCCGGGGCAGTATAACTAAAAGTGCCCTGTGCTATAATGACATCGTTGCTGTCAGGACTCGACGCCTTTTTGAGTGTACCGGTTTCATCTGCCTTAATTCCATTTTCTGTTTCGTAGCTGAAAATGAATATATATACAATAATTAAAACAAAGTTTTATTAACGATGTTATGCATGAGATTTGAAAATATGACGTGGTTACCCCATATTAAATCCATATTAAAGAGTTACCCCATATTAAATACTAAGCAATAGTTAAAAATTATTCGTCCATAAATTCCCGCTTTGGTTCTCAACTTAAAAGGAATATAACAACTGCTTAACCGATTTTAGCTTATGATTTATCTTTAAAAAGTTATTAAAGAATGTAACGGGGTCAAATCAAACCGAGGGAGTAATAATCAACATTAGGAAGTGTTTATTCGTCCGGATGAATTAAAAATATGTTTTTCATCCGACGATAACTGGCTTGTGATAAATAACTGTGGCTTTTGATTTTCCTATAAAAAAAAAAATTACGTATCAGGTTATGAATTTTTTTATGAATATACCGGTAGTCAAAATATTCAGTTCGAAAGGCAAATAAGATCGAATGGACTTGAACTAAAAATCTTTATAGCCCGGTAGGCCAGAGTTGTATTATAATTTTTTTTTCACTTTAGCGGCTTAGAGTTTGTATTTTTTAATCTATACTAATATTATAAAGAGGCAGAGTTTGTTTGTTTGTTTGTTTGAACACGCTAATCTCGCGAACTGCTAATCCGATTTGAAAAACTCTTTTTGCATTAGATAGTCAGTTTATTGAGGAAGGCTATAGACTCATATAACCCGGGACGAACCCGAGCGATGCAAGGGTCAGTCGCTAGTTGTGACAAAAGCATCATCATAAAAAAAAAATTTTTAGCTCTATATGTTTTTTTGGGGCACATTTTTTTACGCATGAAAAGTCTTGGACATAATAAATATTTATAACTATTGAGAGACTGGGATCTAAAAAGATTTATTTTTTGATAGGTAGTTTAAAGTTAATCTTTTGCAAATAAAAAGAACAGGAGGTATTTAAAAAACAATTATAAGTACAAGTCACTGTTAATCCATTTACTGTACAACTCATATATAATTATTTGTCCAGCTACTTTATGTTGTTTTTATTTATTTTAAATTTAGATTTTACTTAAAAGATTGGAAAAGAAGAAGACAGACCCGACTTGGATAACATAAGTTGAGAAGGCCAATACGGGAGCTACGCTTGATCCAGTTAAAGGAAGACTAATATATAACTATTTGTCCAGCTTTATTTTTCTAATTATTTTAAATTTAGAGCATCTGGATAAAAGATTATTTATTTGTAAGTTTCAATTTTCGATTATGTGACAACTCTAACTTGGATAACGTAGGTTGAGAAGACTAAGGTGGGAGCGAAGCGTAGCGTGATGCCCGCTTTAGCCTTCTCGTTATTTTTGTTTTTATTTCAAACCCAGAATCCCCAATATCATAATCATTGCTTTATTTTTATTTAACACCTCCAGGTAAATTTCTAAGAAATTAATTAAATGTCTAAGAAATCTATTGTTAACTGTAAAGCCACGCCGGCTTTACCGTTAACAATAGATCCGCGGTCGTGGAGGGATTAAGATTTGGTGACAGCTTCGACTCGAAAGTTATAGGTCCCGGACAGTATTAGACGAATTGAAAGCGTCCAATGTACTTTTTTTGACGGTACGCTCCAAAAGTAAAATTATAAAAAAATGTATAATGAATAGCCGGACTAATAAAAATAATATTATTGGTACAGTTACTGTGTCAATAGGTTGAGTCATTATTTTACTAGAATATAAAACGAATATGAACTAAGTGGCAGATATGACAAACCAACAATAGTCGACTACGCTAGGCGTCCCATTAATTAAATTATTATTATCAGACACCTAGCAACAGCCTTAATATTTAAGCACGTAATACATTATTCAATTTTAGCAATATGTATTGGCTAGAATTCGGGAAAATTTTGTATAAATAATGTAAAAAAACTGTTTTTTTTTTACATTTTTAGATATTTAAATGTAAATAAATTACTCATTTATATGTCTAGAAAAATCTTACAAAACTGGATCTAAAAGTACTTATAGAACTGAACTTCAGTCGTGAGTAGGATTCTATTAATATACTAGCGACTCACCCTCGCTCCGCTCGGGTTCGTCCCTGGGGTGGGGTCTGGGAGGACCAGCCTTATCCTTATCACTTAGGGGTATGGAAAATAGATAGTAGCCGAGTCTCAGACCTACTGAATACGCATATAAAATTTGGTAAAAATCGGTAAAGCCGTTTCGAAGGAGTACGGTAACTAACATTGTGACATGGAAATTTTATATATTAGATTGTATAAACGAAAATAATTTTATGCATGCATACCTGTATACGTAAGATCCGTCAGCTTGTTGATCAAAGTCTTGCTTAAGGATGGCTATAACTTTATCCTGTGGTGCTGCAGCTGCGATCACCACCACAGCAAGAATTAATAGGAGTCTCTAAAATATAAAAGAAAAGAAAAATTGAAAGTCTATTTTTTTTATTCTTTAATAAAAATGTTTTTTTTTTAGATTTTTTTTGTATTAGTATATATAAAATTCTAAAATTACAGCGATTTTCTTGTGAGAATATGAATTTATAATATTTATTATTTGTGACGTTACTCCCGTATCACCTACCTACTTCTGCCCGCCTATTCGTTGGGAAGAACGCATTGTTCTTAAATATTTAATTTAACCGATTATAAAAATATAGTTATACACCTAACTGACTGATGAATTACTGATAGGTACATTAATGCCGTGCACAAACTTCTACAACAATAACATTTTGACACATACCGATAATAATAAAGCTTATAGGTACGAATAATAATCTTTTTCTGATAAAACTTACAGACAGCTATTTCCATACAGTATTTAAAACTATGATTTCCAATGTAATAAACAGTATGTATTAGTAGTCCTTTTTAATGTCCTACTGCTGGGCACAGGCCTTCCTTCAATAAGAAGGGAGCTCATGCCCATACTTAACCAAGTTGTCCAAACGCGGATTGGCGGACTTCACATGTCTTTCAAAAACTTGCTGGGTTTTCTCAGTCATGCAGATTTCCCCGCGATATTTTCTTTCACCGTAATACAAGTGGAAATCATTTGAAAATGGTTCCCACATGCAAAGATCACAGGTACTAAGCCCGGGACTTGAACCCGCATCACTTTGTTTCCCAAGCGAGTGCACTAACACTGTGTTACCACTACTAAATATAAGCAGCACTAGATAGGATTGTGTATTGCTATACCAAAACACTCTTTATACACTCGTAAGAAGGTCATTTTTAAAGTACGACAATATGGTTTTAGTAACATACAAATTTATTCAAGACACCTGCTATTTTTTGTAAAGCAAGCATTGCTTAACACCGATCAATTTATTTGCTAATATTTACGTATAGGAAAATTAATTCAATATTGTTTAAATAATCTTATCTTACTGATCAATCTCCTTCTTGTCTTCTCCATTCTACGTGACATTGGCAGAGTAAACTGTTTTCTACTGGCCCGCTTTGAAGCCATTACCAAGAAAATTGAATTGGATTGAGGGAAACAAACAAGTGTTTAAATAAAATCATTGTTATCATACTTTTCTATTTATTATAATACTAAAGATTGACAGAAAACGCATAAGAACAACAATTCAATAACTATTTAACTATTTCCATTGAATCTGAATCTTAGGAGTTAGGACTTCATGATCTACAGCCCTAAAGACTCCTTGCTAGACCAACGAAGTATATAGCATAGTATATAGAATATATTATAATACTCGTAGCAGTAAAGTTAAAATTCGCGAAAAAAATCGGAAAGTTAGTTTCATTTAAAATGTCAAATATTCGCGTAAATTTAAGAAAGTATTAAATTACGTAAGTTGTTCTTACTATTGAATTTAAAAGGCGTAGCTCTAATTATTACACTGAAAAGGCTCATTAAAATTTCTTCTTTTATTCAAAATCGATTTTGACATTTGGCATTATGACGCCTCTTGTCACCTGGTGCCGTAGAGTTTATGCCAGAGAAGGCGCTGACTGTAGCATTATTTTTATCCATTAAAATCATTGAGATTACTGTAATAATTGCAAGTCTACTATACAGGATGTAAACACACTATATAGGTACTATACAGGTATGGATGGAGGGATGGAATTTTCAATGCTTAAGACATTTTCTTCCGCTTCCTTTGTGTATGTTCCACGATGTTAATTAGATCTTTATATTTAAACTAGCGACTCACCCTCGCTCCGCTCAGGTTCGTCCCTAGTGAAAATTGAGGATTGTATGTATTTTTGTATGTTGTATCATAAAAAAATAGAAATTAAAAATTTTGTCTAAAAAATAAAATAAAAATTTAGGGGTGGACTACCCCTAACATTTAGGGGGATGAAAAATAGATGTTGGCCGATTCTCATAGATACCGGATAAGCACAAAAAATTTCATCAAAATCGGTCAAGCCGTTTCGGAGGAGTATGGCAACGAAAACTGTGACACGAGAATTTTATATATTAGAAGATTGTATGATTTTATGGTTTTCTTTAATTCTAAGATACAATGTTTGTTGGAGAGATTTTATCCTTACTATAGACTCTATCGATTAATTCGATAAAAAAGTGACTGTGTCCTTTTTTTGCATTATTATTTGTTCCGATTCCTGGTGTATGAAAGCTTTTAAAAAATATATTAAATACAGTTATTATGATTTTTTTAAATAAATAAATGTTTCCTTTGAATAAAACTTGATAACTTCAATAGTTAAGGTACTTTTTTTTCATGTCCCATCCATTTGTTCCATCCTGTATACATATACGAGATATAAAACAAAGTCGGGTTTGTTACAACACTTATAACTCGAGAACTGCTGGGCCGATTTTTATGATCTTTAATTTTTTGGATTTGTTTCTCTCTCTCTCAGACTCAGAATAGCAGAATATCTATTAAAACATCGGAAAATTTTAAGACAAAAAAATATAAAACAAAAATCTATTTCATACTAAGAGTCAAAACGTACCTAGGGACGAACTAAAATATTATGTTTAAACTATACATAGAACACCTACTGATGTAAATAAAAATTCTTATTTATTTTTAAACTATTATATTTCTTAAGCAGCATAATGAGCTGATCAAAAAGCATGAGAAGTAAAATTTAAAGTGCTATTTCGATATTTCGATACCTTAATTGGCAAACCAGCCAACAATTTCGTCAAAACATATTTTTTGGTTTAGATTGTACGCAAGAGTAATTCAGTAGGATTTTATAGTATGAAAAATAACAGCTTACAATGTTCTCTACTAACGATGATTTAGATTTTTTTAATAAGTGTAGCAAAAATATTGTAAAGTTTTAAGTGTCTCCTGAAAAATTTGCTCATATGGAGTTGGCTAGTTTGCCAATTAAGGTATCGATTTATAAAACCTTTTCATTTATATCGGAATTCTACCTGTTTTTCTGTGTTACAAATTACTTAATATCATAATATTAATTCCTCCATATATTTACATATTTATCAAGTCAATTCAATCATTAATTACGAAATCATATAAAATAATATTTCTATAGTTCTTCTGTAAGCAACTAGTTGATATTAGCTCACTCTAGGGATATGTATTTGAATTTTAAGGTAGTATGACGAATTCTCAGACGAAATAGTTTCAAAAGAATACGTAAGATGGAGTCAGTGTGCTGTATAAATATGTAAAATTAATTTATTTCTTTCGTGTTTTATCAACGTTGGTACAAGTTATAATCTTAGATATTATCTATTTAAATTATTAATTAATAAGATTGATAAACACCTGCCAATTTAATGGACTAAAGAGGTTACTACTTATAAAAAAAGACCTTTATCTGAGTAAATGAACAAGGATTCACCTCGACTTAATTATGGTTACATCCGTTTTCATAGGATGTCTGTTTAAAAATAAATACGTTAATGATTTTGCATATTAAAATGTCACGATAAACTGGAATGCTAATAGTGTCATAATAAAATCATTTTCCAAAAAGCTCCTTATGTACAAATAAAACTTGTAAATAATAAACTTTTTTTATGAAAATGTTTTTCAATTACACATAAGTTGTAGGTATAAATATAATATTTTGAATTTATTATCACTGTAAAAAGCAAAATCAGGACACTAAATAATACCAGGTTTGAATTGTCGCGGTTACACTCTAATCCTACGACTTCTATTTAGACTTTCCTTATTAAAGACTTTTTCATTTTTTCCACGGGAGTCCCACCAGTTACGGCTAGTGATAGTTGATATCACAGTTTATCCTAACTTGACAGGAATAAATATCTGCATAATATAATATACAAAAATCCCAAAATGGGTATGAAACCTGGGAGTATCAGCGAAACAGACACTATATAGCTACTAGGCAGTATATACCTGTGGTCATCATCGAAATAGACAGAAAAGTATAAAGTTATAAATACTTAAAGCTTACATATATAATTTTAATCGCTCTTCATTGCTTACTATTTAAAATGACAAACAAATAATCTAAAAGAATATACTCGTTTATTAAGATAATGTTATATAATATTATGTATCTTAAGAAATATTGCCATATTAATTTCATGAATCTTTACATGTTTTTAATAATGCTATAATAAATATACACAGTATTTATGCAGATGTCTGCAGAATACCAAAGGTTTTGTAAGAGTATTGAGTTGTGGGAATATGACACAGAATTTGAGCGTTACCTCGAAAATACAATGTCCTACGTGATAAAACAAAAGGAATGCGTCTAATTAAGCGCTCACACGCCTCAGAGACGGACTTAGAGGTTTGGTAACAAATCATTATTTTTTAACTAAACGATACGTTGGCTTAGAATCAATATAAAAATAATTAACTAACCCTAGGGGATGGATTTGGTTTTTTTTAATTTTATTGAGCAATCTTACGGAATAACCTACTTATTAGAAAAAGTATCATGAAAAACGGTTCGCAATAGGCGAACATACGGTGTAACATAACAGTAAATAAGAAATAAAAACATGCATCCGCAGTAAAAATCTTCTCTTTTTTAAAATCGGTAAAATGAAATTAAGATATACAAATATGTGTAAAATTATACAAAAAATTTAATATTGTGAAAATGTGCTTGTAAATTTTTCTAAAATTCATGCAGAAAAAGAGCAAAGAATCTAGGTGCTAATATGTTTATACAGCTAAAGTGTATAAACCAAAGAGTGAGGTCTTACCGTATACTTTTTATGTCAGTATGTGATATGTCAAATTACTCCTGAGGACAATTTGGTTCATATTTTTGGATAAGAGATTGTAAAATTGACTTTACCTAGGTAAGTTACCTAGTACCTAATATACAACCACAGATCACATAATACTAATAGATACTACATAGTGTTGTAGCTATTATTTACTCATTATTTAATATCCATAAGAGAGAGGAGGGATGCCCATACATTTCATTAACATTTCGATAAAATTCAACCCCTACAGTTGGAATAATTTTGCGGAATTTTGAAGTCAGTGTACCTTTCTTATTGAAAATTAATTAATTTTATGCTCTTAGTTTGAATTATGATCTTAAATGAAATATATTCATTATGCAATTCTAGCGACAATCTGGCTATTTAAATGTTATTTAAGGTTTTTTCAATTTATACCGTAATGTAAAAAAATCACATGTAAATGTATACACATGTATGGTAAATATTTGTAACTTTTTCTCCTTTCATGGTGATATTCTGTAGGGTTATGCCACTAAGATTGAAATAGGTAGACAATGAGATTAGCAAAGGTTAGCTTGGATGTAATAAGTGCAACGACTGTTGCGTCAGCCGCGACAAACCTCTCGCCTTGCACATCTGCCATATGCAAATTTGCAATGAAAAATATGCTAAATTTTACCTACCATTTATGTCATATTATTTAAATTTTAATACAAAGTATACTATAGTTTAATATCATTGCTAATACTCAGGCTTAAAAAATTATGTTGATTCTAAAGTAGCAAAAGTAAAAATTACTTTTCAAAAGCACTAAGTGTAGTGTCTCATATAGAAGGAAGGAATTTTCTTATGTGTGTATATTTTCCAAGTATATTTTTTTAAGTTCATCTAGTAAGGAAGTTTAAAGGTTTCGTATATAAATATTCAAAAGGTATCTTATATTTATAATAAGTTTTCAGATTTTTACCACAAGACCACCTTTTACAAAAAAAAAAGAATTAATATTAGGAACTTAAAAACTAAATAAATAAAACGGTTTCTTAGAACTATTAAGCCAATTAATAAACAATTTAAATGTTAAATATAAATCAATATTAATCTGAGATTGAAGTAAATAAGTATGTATTTTTTCGTTAGAAAAAAACTATACATAATTTATGTATATCTAATGAAATTTCATATTAAGCTTTTTTACTTCCATTTTTATTACTCAAAATCATATACATAAAACCTTTATATCTTGAAACTTTTAAATTGAAAAAAAAACATATAGTTTTAAATCATTTAGACCTCGTGAGAGAAAAAAATAAAGGCCACTTACCATTTTCATCATGTTTCCAAGTCAGATACTGAGGATGAACAAGATATCCTATGTGGTGATTGCGGCGTATGCGCCGGATTGTACTTAGCCTCTAATCATCTGTCCCTTTTATAGAGACTCAGGTTTGTCTAACCATTGCATACAAGCTGGGGGAGCCTACATTGACTACAAAAACACAGAGCCGTACTCGAAATCAAATTAAATTACATGAAACTGACCAATTGTTTAAATAATAAAAATAATTTAAAATTACCTATAACAATATTAATTTACATAATCTTAATCATTCTATCACAATAATTTATAAAAATATATATTATTTTGTATAAACTCAAAAGGAAGTAGTAAGGAAAAAGGATCAATCGAATAAAAATTATTACAATATAATTCTAGAGTTGTAATTGTATATTTATTTATTACAGTAAAAACTTAAGACAATAAAAGTCCCTTACACTTAAAATAATGAAATAAGTTGTGTTTAATTAACACTACTTTTAATCCCTATTGATGTTGATGTTCTATTGATATAAGCTTTATAAACAATGCAAAACCGTGATAACAATAAAATAAATTGATTCCGTAAAGCTGACACGATGAAGGAAGAAAACGTTCTTCAATGTATACTTGGAAAATCTTGGAATTTAGGCTTATTTCGTTATTTTATTATGAACCACCGGCAGTTTATAAAATGAATTCATAGTACTCATCATGGATCCATCTCATTTTTATTTCCTTATTTTTCAAATACATTAAAAAACCGCTGGAGAACCCAAAATATTTTTTTGTTATTTATTTTTACCTATAATATTTTCGCAAAATGTTCAACGAAGCAGATGAAAAAATAAAAAATAAATAAAACCTAAAGACCAGGTTTTGATTACATTCCAAAGAAAATATCAAAAAATGATTAATTTATTAGCATTGAGTCGTTACACGTTCCTTATATTTGGAAATAGTAAAGATATTTTAAAATCAAAAATAAATTTATGTTATCGATGTAAGATACTAATAAGTATCTTCGTGTTACAGTTGTTACAGTGTCCAATAACGTGTTAAAGTTAATAAAATACATATGTATGCAGTGTGGCGCTGAAAATATAGAGTCAGGCTGTGCCGATCGTGCACATAACATACTAGCTAGCTACGAGTATGTTTCTATCTTTCTATCTTTGACTTTAATTGTGCAATTTACGCTTGGCAAATTAAAATATTTACTAAAGAGATTCTTTGTTTTAAGAATTCATTAAATCTAACTTTTTTTAACAAAAGCGTCAATTATATTTTCTTTAAATTTAAAAATAATAAATATTTTCTTCAACACCACTATCAAACTAATGGAAATTTTAACTTTATTCTAATAAAAAAAGCAATATATTTTAAAATTAAATGAAAAAAGTTTAGAATACATCGTGCATGAGTCTTGTTCACGGTTACAATAGAATAACTATCAAAATGCTCGTAAAACTAAGTACCTACTGCCAAAGTAGTACAAGCGCTTTATGTCAAGCCCATTACTATTCGCAATGAAGACGCCTCTGCAAAAATCAATTTAAATAATTTTTACGTTTCATAGTTTTAGCAATTTTATAATATTTTGCCAGAGGAAATACGCGTGGCATTTTCCTTTAAATCGGTCTACTATTTTAATTGTACAATTCTGAATGTATGTTACTTCTTCACGCTAAAACCTTTGGACAGATTTGGATGCTTAATACATAGACAGACGTCTCTCTATCTAGCAACATATAGGCTACCGGTAAGTATTAGAGATGCCCCCGAACGAAGCCAGGGCAAGTCGCTAGTCCTTAACATCTTGGAATTTTTACTAGGAGAGTTCAGCTTAACAACATAAATCAAAAATTCCATTGCATAGAAAATAATAACATTTACAATGTTAGAAATATTATTTATTCCAAGTCTCCGTTCAATTGTTTTTGTGCGAATTTATGTGAAATTGTAATAAGTAATAATTTTCTTTATTAAAATATTATATAAAATGAAATACATAGATATGTTATGGATTATGTTGCTTCTGTTGATGTAATATGTTTATTCCATGTGACTTAATTAACCTTATATTACAGATGTATTTATTATTCAAACACTTAAGATTAATAATAAAATAATGAGTACTCTATATTATAACAGTCTATTGGATTGAATATTTTAAAACATGAGTATTATATGTTACTAGCTGACCCGGCAAACGTTGTTTTGCCATATAAATAATTTCCTAGTAATTTCCTAGTAAAATAAGGGTTGATTGTAGAAGGGTGAAAATTGAGGATTGTATGTATTTTTGTATGTTGTATCATAAAAAAATAGAAATTAAAATTCTTGTCCAAAAAATAAAAATAAAATTTAGGGGTGGACTACCCCTAACATTTAGGGGGATGAAAAATAGATGTTGGCCGATTCTCATAGATACTGGATAAGCACAAAAAATGTCATCAAAATCGGTCAAGCCGTTTCGGAGGAGTATGGCAACGAAAACTGTGACACGAGAATTTTATATGTTAGATATTAGATTTGTAGATACGTTTATAAAAAGATTGTATTGAAGATAAAACATTTTTAGAAATAACGTAATTGGGATCACTTTAAATTGATAATATAAATACAGAATAAAAAAACTATAAAAGACTTTACTACAAAATAGGTTTCTTAAACGTCTCACACAAGACGCAACAAGTAGGCCATGGATATCTTGATGACTCTAAAAAGCATATAATATTATATGTAAATGCAATTTAAATTTTTATACATAAATATTAATGAAATTAAAATTCGAATTCTTAAACGATGCAGACGTCCATTTCTATGTTTTTATTCTAATTTAAAAAATATCATTTTGTTTTAAATAATATGTCTAGAAAATGATTTATATTTACACGAGACATGTTTCAATTAACTTTGTTTTATTAATTACATCTTCAGATACGTAGGGTAGGGTGGGGCTGAAAGGTCCAATTTTGAAATATTGCCTCGTTACTATTTAACTATAAGCATTCCGAAAAAGATCCAAATGCCAATAAGTAGTGTAGTCCTTCCCTTAAATATAATTACTAATGATTATGATTAGTTTATAGCTATTCGCCAGATATCAAATATTTAGATAGGCAGTTCTAGTGGTCTTTTAAGCCCCGCTGTAGGGGCATAAAGGACCAGTGATAGGGTTAAAAGTACCAGTATGAATAATCAACCGATTGTAGTTGATAAAGTAAATTCTAATAAGAATAAATAGAATAAAATTTTGTTTGACCAACAGGTTCTTTATATTTATTACAAAAAACAACCGTTCATTACATTTATTAAGAAAATTAACAGATAAAGACTATTAATCACATTTTTTACTAAACTTTAAACAATGGCACAGCATTTCAGTCTTCATAACAAGTCTTTAGTTTTATTTTTGGTCCAAGACCCATACAATAGTGCATTCTGTCGGCCCATCTCGCACGAAGCGGTCATGGTATTTCTTTTTCGGAAATACAAATAACGGCGGTACAGAATCTGCAGTTACTGAAACAGCTATATCAACAAAGTAACATTGGTTCTGTTTTCAATAGATGTTACAGATCAAATCTTTTTTTTTCCTTTAGCCGCATTTATGTTTGAAGGTGACAGTTGCAACGCCAGTTTCATCGGCATTCCGTGTACATGACTCTTTAAATTTATAACGATCCATGACTTTTTCGCAATAAATCCTGTAATCCAGTCTGTCCCAGCTATTTGAATCGCTGGAATTTTGAAATTATATTGCACAAAACAATCATGAGCCAGGGGTCGAACATCTTTCGGATCTAGACCATGGAAAATTTGAGTAAGTTTGGTCTTCCTCCAAGACCCCTCTTACAACGATACTCGAAATCTATGATGGAACATTATTTTCGAAAATAGCAATGGTGGACCTTTTTACCCGCGGACCTTTTAGCCCCGCTCTAACTTAATTGACACAAAGAAAATCTAAAGAAATATGTTGTATATATTATAAAAAATCCTTCAATCTCAAGGTATGCCCAAGGTATGTTCAAGGTATTCCCATAACGAAATGAATCATATGAACGGGCTTCGACAAGATGTTTATTCTGCTATTATTAAAGAATATATATTTTATAAATATTTAAATGACAAATCATTATAACATAGATTTTTTAGATATTTATATTCTTGAATAATTGTAGAATGACTTCATGTCTTAGCCTTCTAGGGTCTTAGTTTTCTAGGGTCTTCAGTCGTTTAGCTATTATTTAAAATATTGTTAAAGAATAGAAATTTTATAAGTATTAAAATAATAAATTTTTCTCAAAAATATTTTAAAATATATATATTATTCTTAAATGATTGTAGAATGATATCATATCTTATCCCTAGAGGCTTCAATCGTTTATTAAACGAAGCAGACTTACAAAAAATAAACGAAGATATTTCCACCTTTATGCTTATTGCTTATATCTATCTTATAAATAAAAAAAAATGGCTAAATATGTTTCTAAGTTCAAAACTCGAGCGCGGCTACCGCTACTTAGAGCGGAGACCAATTCGACTATTTTTTTTTAAATATTCGTTGAAGTTCGAGTAAGGTCTTTATGGAGAGAAAACTTTGAAAAATTTCGCGGAAAAACATAAAAATCACATTTTTCTATTTCTTTACTACTACTCCATAGTTTCACCATTGATTTTATAATTAATATAAACTAGTTGAATGCATTTGTAGATTTGATACTTTCTCTTTCTACTAGGTATATACAGTTTGACTTTGACTTTGTTTGTTCTTCTTTAACGTCGGAACAGAGCGACAAATTGGCGTGATTTTTTGTGTGAAGAAAGTTGGAGGGATGGAGAATGGCAAAGGCTCGAGGAGATTATCCCATTCCCACGGTTAAACACGTTATAATACAACCCACGACAGCTCATCAACATATCAATAGATAGGTATATCTATTCCATACTAACCGTTAAAACGTACCTAGGAACTAACCCGCGCGAAGTGAGGATAAGTCGTTAGTTAT